AAGCTGAACTCTACAGAGAAATACGCATTCAGATGAGAGCCAAGGATTTGCTTGAGAGCTCTGTAGCTCCAATAGATACTAGCAACTGTCGGAGGGATCCTCAGTCCCGAACTGCCACTAAAACTAAGCAGGAAAGACTTGGCTTCTTGCAGGACAGAAGCTTCAGCTTCAAGCCAAGGATTAATCCAACAGTACCAGATTTTGAGGAACTTTATTGGGCATTTCAGAGGGAAGCAGTAAGAAGACAAGAAATCAAAGAGGCAACTCGAATTAAGCCATTCAAATTACGAACCTCCAATCTCCGTGGCAGGCAGAGAGAAACTAATGAAAAGATAAAGGTGAGATGACTAGATATTTCTGTGGTACTGTTTTCCCTGATTTCCCTGATGGCAAGTTCTTAAATATATAGCATTTATTTGTAATAGGTTATGTGCTTTAGTGAGACCTATGACCTCAGTATTTATCTCAGGAGTACTGCAGTATTCGAGGACAAATCAAAGAACAAAGAGATGAGCTATGGCAGCCAAGGGTCAGCTTCCCTTCCATACTCCTGAGCAAGTCTTCTTCCTGCTCATCTCTCAGCCTGTCCCCATGTAAATCCCTACTGTTGGAAAAAAGAAGAATGAGTGCATTGCCCACATACCTCCAACTGTTCTCATTACTAGACAAAGAAAGAGGAGCTTCTGTGCTGTGAACAATTACACTGAATAAAGTTCCATTTCTTTCAGGATTCCCAGCAACTTTCCAAGGTTTCTGTGCAAAAAAGTCATTCTTTGACTGCACTTTCCTCTCTCTCTTCCAATACCCTTCCAGTGCATATTACAGATGCAACAAGAAAAAGGGAATCTGCTATTAGGTAAGTAAAACTTTGTCTACAAGACCATACACCACCTAGTGACTGAAATGGAGAAAGTTATGTTCTCCCTCATCACATTGACAATTGTTATCCTAATTGTTTCTCTGTGGCTGGTCTTCTTCCCTCACTAATTCTTGTCTTGCCTCACAGTCAGTTTGGGAGCTATACACAAATTTGTAGTCTTCTAAGGAGAACAGCAAAAAGTGAAATTGTCAACCACTGTGCCGTCTGGAATTCTTAAGTGAGCTGATTACTTACTTTCTTCTGTACAGATACTCCCAAGAGAGCAAAAAGGAAGGAGATAAAGAAGGAATTTACTGGGTAGAGAAACAGAAAAAGAAATGTCAGGCAATTCATAAGTCAGTGAACAGCCGAGCAAAAGCCCTGGATCCACATAAAAGTCTGGATGAAACACACAAGGAGAAGTTGAAACAGAACCGGTCAGTATCCTATTCTGCACAGAAATCAGAAATAACTGTTTGCTTTGGTAACTGGGAGTTATCAGGTAATTCTTTAGGAGGAGTTTAGTCTAAGAGTTTTCTTAGAGTTAACCTTTAGCTGCTATACCCATTCCAGATTCAGATGGATTTCTTCACAAGCACTACCTTTTGCACACATAATAGTTTTCTTTACATTAACATTGGTAGAGACTAATTTGTACAACTTCATTGTCTCCCTTGGTAAGTACACAAAACACATAAGACAAGGTTTTGTAAAAATGTGAATGTCAATTCTCAGCTTACACTCTAAATAGAAAAGCTTGCTAATGGTGTGTAGCACGGTAGCAAAAGCAGTGTTTTGTCCATTATATGGAATCACATTTCAAATCTCAGAGCTATTTAAAGGACTAAATGGCTGCTGAGAATTTATTTTTCCCCTGTCAGCTACAGTCAGAACGGAACCTGTTTTGGACATGGAAATTTTTCATTTCAGGCAAAATATGAGAGAAAGAACAAAAGAATACAGAAAGGAGCTGGAAGAAATGCAGCTGCGAGTCAAGAACAGACCATACCTCTTTGAACAGGTCTCCAAGGTAACTGGTCAAAGTTCCAAGTGTCTCTGGGTGACAGGATTTCATTTAGGACAGGCAATAAGAAATTTTGACTCAAGTTATTCACAGTTAGGTGATAATGCTTGTATAGTCTTTGGACTACACATGGGACAGCCACACAGGTGTTAGGAAAATTCCTTTCCATGACTTAAAGAACACTGGTACTTACTTCTTGATTGTAGAACTTTCCAATCCCTAGCATATATTGCAATCAAAATACATGGTCTGATCAAAATTCAGGCCTTTTCACACCAGAAATTATATGACTACCCATTCTGCACCTGAATACCATGGTCCGCAGTCTAGAAATTTTAATTTTTTAAAACATCCTCTCTGGTAAAATCACTTCTATCATCTGCAAGCTTGGCTGACTGTTCAGCACATATCACCATCACAAAGTGAAATCTCCAAATCTCAGATTACCATAGTTAAATACTTTACTTTCTATAAAATATATTTCCCAGGGTTTTCTCTTTCAGTTCTTTCTCCTTGCACAGCTGACAGATAACTGATTAGAGACATATTGAGAATATGTAGCTATATGCTGATTTAAGTTCTCTTAGTAGAAATATCCTCTTGGCTCAAACTTTCTGTTCAGGTGAATGATTAATGGAGACAGAGAACACATTTGTATGATAAATTTTGGTAACATTTCTGTTTGTCACATTGGTGAGAATTAATCAGTATTGATAACATTAACTCTTTGGAGACTATAATTTTATCCTACCATATAGAACACCTTAATCTTTATAAACTGCCCACTATTTCTGGAAAGCCTCATTTCAGACTACATTAATTTGTGAAGTTTGTGTGGAGGCAATGAGAATATAAGACCCAGGATGCTTTGCTTTTAGCTTCTTGAATACAAGCTGATATGAAGCTATTTCACAAGTTCTTTTGAAATCCCTTGTGGTTAGCGCTTACAAATGGTAGGCCAATGTGTTTCCAGAATTTCTTACAACCCTTTTAGCACATATTCTCAATCTGAGTGTCAGTCAGGATTCAGACGTAAGTGTACCACTGTATGCTGTAGAAGTAGAACAGAAGAGGGAAGTAAAAAAAACAAAAACAAAAACAAAAAACAACACAAACAGATGCAGGAAAAGATGAGCTCCAACTTTGAGGAATGTTGAGAACATTCTCCCTGTATTCAATTTCAATTTTGTACTCTATGGTAGACAAAAATTCTGGACTGTTTTCTCATTAGCAGTGTCAGCTCCAAACCTTAAAACAACATAAGCTGGCTTATAGAGAAGCCCCTGTTCTACATGCTTACTGTTTAAGTTTCAATTTGATAGCATGATGCTTGTCAAGGAGCAGAGCGTCGCTACAGACACACCCTCCAGCAGGTTGGGCTAAGTGAAGAATTTGTAAGGAAAAAAGGGAAAGATGCTGCTGATTTGCTGGAAGAAGAATCTGACATTCACAGGTAATAATGCAATAGAGATTTTATGCCTTTGACTGGAAATATTTTCAGTTTTCATAAAGCAATTCTGGTTTGTACCATGTAATATAGGTAAAATTAAATCAACTCCACTCCTCTTTAATTAAGCATCATATTTAATCCATCTTAATTTTTATGACAGCTAGGTAGTCCATGTATTTCTTATTTGTGGAGTAAGCAGCAAGTAAGTACTGCAAAATATTTGCAGTATTAGATAATCACTATTTCTGCAGATTGCCCAAGCTTCAGAGTGAAAAGGAAGTTTGTACTATACAGGAAGGAGAACCTCAAGAAGAACAGAAAGGAAAAGAAATGGCAACATAAAATTTAGCAGAAGAAACCATCAATCATCTTTTGATTTTTAATGTATCCCCACATTAATCCTCAGGAACTTTTTGTTTCAGGCTGACAGTAATTGTTTTGGGGTAAGTGAGATGTGAAATCTTAATAAAGGAGAAAAAGACTAACTGTTGTTTAGGTCACATTTTGTCCGATTCTGCAAACACTACAGCCTCTTTTAGTTTTCTTGATTGTTTCTCATGTGAACCACTTCCCTTTCTTTAAAAACAAACAAACAAGTTTAAAAGGTTGAAGCACTATCTCTGGATAAAAGTAGATACGAAAGATTGAAGTTCATCCTCTAATGTCAGCTGCTTATGTCCATGTCAGAGAAGCACACAGAAAGGGGAGAGTTCTCTCAGTGTGCCAGACATTAGTTTGTAGATAGATGTAATAGCATTGACTTTAAGCAAAGTTTCTACACAAAATAGCATGACTTGACCTACCTTGGAAGAAGTTTCATGAGGAGATTCTTTTCCGGCCTGTTAACAGTTTGTTCACTCATTACCAGCTCTACTTCTTCCTCTCATTAGGAAAAAGCAATAGTCTTTCTATATTAAGAACTCTCACATAAATCCATTATTTGAAACTCAGTTTTAATTTCTTACCAACTCAGGTCATTTATTTGGTCTGAAAAAGAACCAAGATTATTAAGGTTGTAATTAAGAACTTTGGATTGCTACTGTCCTAATTCTACTATTACTGTGATATCAAAGACGGACTTCAGTGAAAGCAAGATTAGGTATTACCTGTCAATGTGTCATGCTGGGGCGCCTGGGGCATCTTAAATGGTATAGTTCACACATTAGTCATCTTCCTTTACTTGACAGTAATATAGCATCTCAAAAATATAAACCCTTACCACCTGTTTTCTGAGAGCTGTGATGTCAGAACACTTTGAGATTAGAAGGTTTTATAATGGCCATCAGTGTTCCTGCACTGTCCAATTTCTTCATCAATCTTTTCCACACATAAATGGAAGTTGTCTCTTCTTTTATCTTCTTTAGCTCAATCCATTTCTTCATAACAATTCCGCCTCTTCATCAAATAAAAAATACAGTACCTGTAACAGCTAGCACGTTAGATAGATACATAAAGCTGAGTTTGTGGCATTGAAAAATCATAATAAAGTATTAGAACTTAAAATTTAGGGCCCCAGGGTTTTGGGTTAATATGTAACACTTTCAAAGAAATCAGTTCATGCTGACAATAGCTGAATATGTTTCAGCAGTCTCTACTGAATTCACAGTATTCAGTACTTATTCTGAATCAGTAAAGTAAAGAGTCAGTAAAGCTGATGCTTGTGGGGCTTTTCTTGTGTTTTTTTTTTCCCCCTCTTTTTTCAGTTGAGCATTCTAAACATTGCATCTGCTGAGTGCTGTCCCCTAGACTGAAATTCACCTTCTTGCTTCTGCAAGAACCTCCAAATTGTAATACCTTTACCAGCAGCAGCACTACATTTACATTAGCTGGGGAGCAATATAAATTCATTGTCTTCACACAGGAGCCATAACAAATGCAGAGTATCTTAGCAAAATTCTGCTTCCTTAATAATGCTAATTCTGAATCACAGAATGACAGAATGTGAAGAATGAATGAAGAAAATGACTTTATCTTAACAAAAATTCAAAATATCTACATAGTAGAGTAATTTATAGAGCTTAATATATCAAAGAAATTTTCAGAAAAGAAGCAACTGGAAAAGAACACAGCAGTTGTAATTAAATGATACCAAGTAGTACATTTATTTCAGATATTAAGTCAGCTCCTGATAGTGAGATGTATTAGAATATAGTCTCTGAAGGTAAAGGATGAAAGGCCTGTTGCTCAAGATACTGAATGTTTGTACATTCAGTACAGTGCCTAACACAATGAGATCCTGGTCCTTAACTGGAACTTCTAAGTGCTCCAATGTAACAAGTGCTTTAGGCTTTAGGAGAATGGACTGCATGAACAGTTTTGAAATGGTGTTCCACGACATGGGCTAAATGACATTTAAGCAGTAGACCACATTTTGAGCTCTGCAGAGAGAAACTTGGTCCAGTATGTCTTCTCCAGCTCCAGCGTTATCATTTGTTTGCCATCTACCCAACTTGCTCTGTGCACAGTTAAAGCAACGTTTACTCATCCCACTGCAACATGGTGAGTCTCTAGGAGGAGCAATCAATCCCACTTCAGTCACTACATATAAGAGGGCGGAAGAAAGAGCAGCCAGTCTCACCCTCCTCTACTCCGATAATAGACTCAGTATCTGGCAGATGTAGAGACTCCACACCAAGGCTGGGCTGAGAGTTCACAGAGATGAGATTCTTACTATGCACTGTAGATTCTTCCAGCAAACTACTGCCCATCAACGATTCTATTGTGAAAAAAAGGGGTAAAACAAAATCATGTAATGGTACTACAACATATGACACATCCCTTCACCCCTCCAATTTGCACAGACTTCTTCATTAGTCACCTGCTTTATCAGTTACTACTCTGAGCACCTGGATCTCCAATGGATAGTAATTCCTATATTTATCTGTTTTGTTTTGAACGTTAGTATGTCAGAATCTCAGGCAGGTTTGCCTTTTTCCTGAAATAATTTACACAAGGCTTCTTACAGCAAAAATATGTAACAAATGGAGCAACTTTAATGTAAAAAAAAAAAAAGATTCATCGCAATTTTTAAAACAATAAAACAATCTGCCTCAACCACAATACAGAAATAACTTCCTCTTCTATCCTAGAAAAGGAGAGAGCGAGCAATTGACAAGATTCTTGACACCAAGAGGAACAGTCTTTTATTCCTTACTGTCTTGTGGTCTCTCCCCTTCTCTTTGGCCATCCACTACTTTCTTTGTGCACTTTTCCCCTCCTTACCTGGTTGTTCTTGCTCTCTGCTGCCACCTGTTCCAATTCGGGAATGGTGTTTCCTCATATGCACATTTCTGCTACCACTCTGGGAAAATGTCTTCCCACAAATTTGGCACTGATGGGGCTTCACTCCTGGGAGAAAAAGGGGGAAAAAGTACCCTATGAATTAAAAAATTGGGAATAAAGATCTCATTAAACAAACTGTCAAATACCACTGTTTTGAAATGGCTGTTGATACCCTTTGTGTTACATATCAGTGAAAAAAAATAGTGAGAAATACTGTTTCCTATAGAGCAGTAAGCTTCCAGAATATGAGTTTTAGACACCAGCGTTGCCAGTTGTTGGAAAACTCAGCTCTGAAGACTAAAATAACATCTGATTTATAGGAGGAGAGTTATTGGAAATCTTTTACTCAGTATCTCATAATCTAGCATACAAACTGACCAAAAGCAAGAAATCAGAGGTGAGCCTCTGATCATACAATAACCAGGATCTGGTTAACATGACTGAGCAGATACTGAATGACAGTGTCACTGGAAAAAGATTTCCACAGAGAACAAAGGAGTCTATCATTCCTCCCATCTACAACCAAGTATAATACCAATAAGAGAGAACTCAGTAGCTACAAACCAGGAAGACAGATGTTGTAAAAAGCATGGAGAACTAAGATAATCCCTCTTAAGGTAGATTGATCAAAACAGAAAGCAGAAGCTTTGAAATATGCACAAAATGTCCATCTAATGTTTTGTAGCATTAGATCACAAGTATGTGGTATTACAAAAAAAAAAAAAAAAAAAAGCCTCCACCCCTGGCAGAAGTTCACTCATGAAAGATTGAATGGTCTTGATTAGTGTAAAGCTGTGCTAGATTCTCTTTTTAAAATAAGAAAATGGCAGCTATGAAAGAGATGTTCAACTTCATGACATCTTAAAAACACTTTAAAAAATAGATTTTAAAAATGTAGTTCAAATTTAGAAGCATATCATTTGGAAAAAAAAAAAATTAAACTGTGCAGGCCACAGGTACCACAAAGGAAACTGTCAAAAAAAAGCACAATCAGAAATTCTGTAGAAAACAAAGCATTTTTCTTAAGGAAGTCAAATAAAAATCTGACAACTAAGTTCTTTTCTCAGTTAAATCACAGCATATCAGATGAAGCCTCTTACCTGAGTGGACAACTAAATGTTTTCGAAGGCTGGAGTACTCAGCAAAGGAGCGACCACATCCCTGTGCTTCACACAGAAAGGGTTTTTCCCCTGAAAGGGAAAAGTAAGGTTTTATAGTTTGGGATCACAACTTGATTTGATTGTCCAAATCACCAAGAACTGCCTAAAGATCTCTACCTCATTCTCCTTTATGGCCATACATGTAACCATGGTCAACAGAAATAACACAGGCTTCCTAAATCTCCTAAAGCATTCTCATTATCAGCTTTCAAGAGGAAACATTCAAATCCTTTTCTTAAATATTCTTGGATCATCATTAACTGATCAGAAAAAAAAAAAAAAAAAAAAAAGCTCTGTTTCTAAAGAGATCTTCCAACTGCATAAATACCAAAAGAGTAATACAACAGTGTCTGGAATATGATATAGCATTTATATGCAGGTCTTAACTATCTTTGTGATTCAGTAACTCCCAGGATCCTATTTCCTTTCTGCCTCTCAGTGCCAAAAATGCCATTAGCTGTATTTTCCTTCACATCAGATTCTATACTTTATTTCAGATCAGGCTGACCTTGGCAAAAACCTGACAGAGGTGTGTCAGTCATTTATATTTATTCACAAAAGAACAGTAATTCAAGGCACAATTTGTTCTCATAGACAGAAAGTTGCTATTTGTATACATCTCCAGAGCTATTGTTGCATTTGTCTACATGATGATAAATTGGGAGATGACGGTACTAGTGCACTGTAATGTAATTAATCTGTTCTAAACTCCTTTTTAATGCCTTAAATAAAATCAAAGCTAACTGTCATCTGCAACATCCAATTAAAGATCTCAATATGCCATGCTTATCAGTACAATTTCAAGCCTTTTTCTACACTACTGTGTCAGAGTAACAACTTCACAGATTAAGTAATGCTTCAGTTATTTTGAAGATATTTTGAAGTTATTTTGTCTAACATGTATATAGCTCTTTGAGAGCAAACTTATTTTTTTAGTTGTTTCTACTGCAATTTTGCCTTTAAAAGTCCTCTCTCTACAGTTCATTTCTCAGCTTCATATCTGCTGTAGCATTTAACAGATCAGTTGGTGTTACAGAACTGAAACAAGTAGCAGATTCCCAAACACTATTTGGAAATTTTCTCTTTATAACCATTTAACACTTGGAAAGAAAGAAATAAAAACTACCACTGACAAAAACAACAGCATAAAATTCTATCTATAAGAAACCTTAGATGTATTTGTACATCTGCATCAAGATCTGATCAAACTCTTAATCACGTTATCAAAATGCATTTTAGAAAAACATATTTTACTCTTCCAGAAGTTACTACTCTGTTGGCTGCAGAACACTATTGTAGAAGATTGAGCATGTGTAACCTGGGCCTATTTACTTTGTTTATTCTTTGGCTAGGAACTTTAAACACACACACAAAAAAACCCCACCTAGACAAACTATGGTTACTGTTACTGCACATTCAAAATTTTATTTTTGGCATATATCACTTTTAACTACATCCCAACATCTGCTCCCATGTTTTCTAGTTAGACTGCAAATGCCTTTAAAATAGCAATTTTTTCCCATGAGCTTTTTACAAAGTACCTAGCATAAGGTAGTGTTTAAGGCAGAAAGCATGTACAGCTGCTAGCAGCCCACATAATTTGGAATTTCATTTTACAAGAGAGGCCATTGTGCTCTCCCAGTTTTCAAGTTTATTTTGAAATGTTAACCAGCTGTAATGCAACACTACCTTCTCAGCCAACAGGGAATCTCCAAACACAAAATTCTGGGAGGCTTGGATTGGGTCATTTGTGTCAGTGATGCATTAACCTCGAAGCTTAAAAAACAAACAAGCAAAGCTCCCAAAATATTCACTAACAACTTTGCTAACTTAGATTAAAACTGCTGATCATTTCAGAAGGAACTTCCACAGCTCTTCAAACACCTTTCTAGGATAAATGCTTGTAAAGCACTCTATACATTGTCAAGACTTTGGCTGGCAAAACTTCCAAAAATACTGACAAGGCAGAACTCTGCTCATGAAACAGCATAAACAAACCATATATAAAATACAGCACTGTGAAATAATGTTCTTCTTTTATTTAATATAAAAATTTGTGCATTAGTTAAGAGTACATAGAATCCAATATATGGCAACATCCCGAATCAGCATTACTACAAATAGAGCAGTTTGCATGCCAAAATGCTTTCTTCAACTAATGCCTTTTTCTATGAGATTTTGCTGATTTTTGATACTCATTCCACTGTACTCCTCACTTTCCTAGATCTCTCACACATAGTCATTCTACAAGCACATAAGGTAGGCAGATTCAGCCAAATGTCAGTATAGCTACTACTGTCTACCAGGACTCACACTGAAGAAACATCTAAACTATTGTGCTTTTCAGGAATTTAAAATAGCTTCTTTACGAAAATAATTACAGCAGAGGTGTTCACTTATTACTCATTTGAAAAGAAAATGGACATTAAAGAAGGCCAGAGATATACAAGCATAACATTTTCAAGAGTTTGATGATGGAGGAGGCAGTACTTTATTCCTCACTTAAGACCCCACTTCTTCAGACCACAAATAGATGAAGTCTAAAACACACCAGTGTGAATTCGTAGGTGGTTCTTCAGATTTCCAGCTGTTGTAAATTGTTTCCCACAACCCAGCTCTGTACAAACAAAGGGTTTTTCACCATTGTGAGTTCTCATGTGCACCTTCAGCCTCTGCAAGACATAAAAACTTTTTCCACAGCCTTCTGCTGGGCAGGTGAAGGAACGATCATTCCTGCAAAGCAATAAAATAGCTGTTTCATTACCATCTTCTTCAATGTTTTTCCCCAACCCCCCCCCCATCAACACTCAACTTTTTCCAGTTGTTGAAATAAAAATAAAAAATATCTTTATTGAAGACATGCTAAAATAGAAATATTCTAAATCAAACACTAATAAGAAACTTCAAAAATAACCTGTCTGGCCAAAATGTTTCAACATAACTGACCATCTGAAGCAAGCAAGCAGCAGGCCTACTATTTCTAACAGTAATACCAGGTTTCCACAGCTTGCTGACATCAAAAGGTAATGCATTCCCAACTACAGAGCATCTTTTTTTGAAAGTCATGACAACGTGTGGCTTTATTCTGCTCACCGATGTGTTTTCAGATGATATTTGAAGTGAGCTGGCCACACAAACGTCCGATCGCAGCCTTCAACTGTGCATTTCAACTTCCTTTCCACACGAGATAAGTGAGGAATGGGGCTTGAGTCTTTCGGTTGCCCATCTCCTGAGCAAAGATGAACATTTTCACCTGAAATAAAAAGCCCATCTTAAAAAGATGCAGATTACTAAAATGCATCAAAGCTAATAGATAAAACCAGCATAAAACATGATACAGGACTGTAAGGTAGATATGTGGCAGGCTTCTAATTGTTTACTATGTCCTACGTGCTGCTACCCAGCCCATAAGAAGGATCTGACACAGATTCACAATCCTCTCCAGGACCATAGACTACTGCCAGCAAACTATTTGTATCATACAACCTCCTACCAGATGAGGCTTATCACAAGAAGGATAGAAAATCAATGCACCAAAAACTGTAAAAACAGTCTCTATACCAATAATAACCATCCAATTTTAAGTAGCAGTCAGGATAACTACTTTTAAAAACACTCTAGCTAAAAAAGGGATACTGCATTTCTTTGCAATCATTAATTGAAAAAATTGTCACAAAAAAAATGTCTAAATACAATCACGTACTCCTCAGATCATCTCAAAACCTAGAGCAGTTGGGAAGAAAAAAGGATAAGTTATGATATGCATTAAAAATACACCTGAAAGCAAAAATGAAGGTTAAAAGAAAAACAGCTGTAGTCAGATACTTTTTGCATGTACCAGAGAACACAGGGACTGCAACAGCACTGCTGGCTTCACTGAAGTTCATTCTCTGAGAAAAACTGAGGAGCCTATTTATATTACAGAAAAATCACGATTGTTGTCTGTAACTTTGTCACTGCTAATTTGAGGACACACAGAATAGCTTAAAAGCAAGAAAGAGTGAAAGAGAGGAATAAACAATATGAAAATAGGAGTCTTATATGGAACATTCAACTTCTGAGACAGAATCAGGAGATATCCTACCATTATTGCTTGCTTTGGCATTCTTAGCGAGCTGTGCTCGAGTTGCAGCAATCAAACTGTCATGGGCCAATTCTTGCACCCGCAGGAACCATGGAGTACTGCTGTCTGTGCTATCGTGAGAGAGAAAGTCATTCCCAGAATCTTCTGCTTCATCTTGAACAAACACCAAGTGCTCTGCTGGAGAGCCCAGCCCTAGAAAAGAAGGCAACTTCATCAAAGAGAAGGATAATGTAATAAATGGAAGAGGGAATTTTATTTTCCTTCCCAGAAGCTAGCATTCATTGTACGGGTGTAATTGCTGCACTGAAAGTCTTCACTGACCTCTGCACTGTAGGAAGCTGTTGATGATTAAATGTGCTGGAATATTCAACAACGTCCAGCAAATTCTGTGACCTTTCCCTTTCCTAAGCAGCAGGGACAGAGATGTACTATGCATCCCCTGCATTCTGTTGTCTGAGACATACCAAGCTAGATGGCAAACAGAAGGAGAATTACCTGCTCTTGTTAGGTTGAGAAGAATAAATGAAGTGCTGTCACTGGGCTGCAGGTCTTGCAATAAACTGGAAGTCTCTGGAGATGACAGAAGTTCAGATGGTTTCTGTACATTCTGTACCCTTGTTTCCTCTCCATCAGGGCCCACATTTACCTGGAGGCTCCTCAACACAGCAGATGAAGAGACATCTTTGGAAGAATTAGCGTGACTTGGAGAAGTGAGATCTCTTTCATCATCTGGTGAAGTAAATAAAACAGAAAACAAAAAGTATAAAAATACCCATGAAGTTATTTTTCTAGGAAAAAAAGAAAAACAAACAAAAAACTTGAGAGAAACTGGGGAGAAAGGATATTTCTAACTAGTCAGACTTCACTGTTAAATGAGAAAAGTTTCAGTCATTCTTCTGAACTTGTTCCTCCATCACTGGAATGCCTTATCTGCAAGAGGCAGGGATGATGCACCACAGAGGAGTAGTTAAGACAGCTTTATAAGCAGCATGCTCACAAAGATCCACTGCATAGATTTTACCTGGTAACATGAGTCTGTTGCATTCTGAGGTCTCAGTAACAGGAAGGAGAGAAAGACAGGTGATGTCTTTTGGCTCTGATTCCACCAGCCCTTGAGCTAGTGGAATAGAAGTATTCTGAACAAACTGAACCAGCAGCTGGAAAAAAGAAATTGAAGATTAGATGGAGCATAAAACATTAATCCTACTTAATTGTAGGAATCCCCCCTGCAAGAGACAAAAAATATCATTTATTACCATCAAAGTGACTGTAAGCTCTTCAGCGTACATTAAAGACAAAGAACATATTTGTATTTGTCATTTGTAAAATATCTACAAAAGTCTCATTTCTTTAACAAATAATAAAAAATAAGTTCTGGATCACTGCAGAATATACTGAAGGTTAATCAGGCTATTCCATATTTTCTTTAATGTATCTTTTAGAACTTGATACTTTACTGCGCTACCACCTTCTAAGTAAATGTTCTCCATGATCAATCTTTGAAATTGTTGTTGTTGTTTTTTTATATAATATTTAAACACTTGACAAGTTGGCTGTATAAATTTAAAAAAGCAAGAGACTGATTGCAAAACATCTAGCTAATGGCTATTTGAAGTTGACAGGTAGGGCTGGAACAAGGTTGAGATGAAAAGGGGGAGGTGTCCACAGTCTCATCTGTCCAAATCAGCTACCTCTAAAACCATCAAAGGTGAACAATTAAAGCTGTCATCCTTAGTGCAAAACCCACAGAGTAAGGGAATTCAGCAGAAGAAATAATGCAAGGTAAGGGGGACTGTTGTGTGAAAGGGACTTATTCTGGGACGCATGCCCAGACTTGACACGACATCTGGGAGATGACACAGAACACTATCCAAGAAAAAGGCCAAAGGCTGAAAGAGGAGGGGTTCAAGGTGGATTAGGGTAGAACAAACACAGGAATACGGAAAAAGATGGACACAAAAGAGGCCCCTTACATGTAAGTAGTCAAGTCATAAGTCGGTCAATTCATTTGCCCGGCCAAAACCCATGCTTAACCACCGTCACAGTCTGTCCTGTCTCCTTATTAAACTTTATGTATTCATGTGGAGTTACCTGTGCAGTGTGACGGCTCATCGGTATCGAAAGAAAGCAAGTAAAAAAAAAGGACGGCATGCTCCTCTCACTTAATCACAATCCACTTGAAACAACAACAAAACTCACAGTCACTCATTATTTAATCCTTATTCTACACATTTATTTTGTGACTGTCTTAACATTTGAATTTCAGAACCACTGGCACCCAAATCCAAACAATTTCTGTAACAGATACCAGCCTTTTAAGCCTGTCCTACAACAGAACCAACAGAACCAAGTACCTTAAATCAAAGAAGCTACAAAGAATACAAGAGAGTACCTAATCGTTTGGGCTTTGATCCCTTTATGCATATATCCTCTCATGAAAATACTGGCAATACTGATGCTTCCTCAGTTTTACCTCTAAGAGAGACTTATGACAGAGTTGTGAGGCATTAATTGCCCTGAGTGGTCTCACCTGGAGGCTCACTCACACCCACTGATCAGAGACTTATTTAAGCTCAGCCTGGGGCCTTCTTCTCATTCCAAGCTGTAGTTCTAGCTATTGTCAGTTCTGTTTCTGGCTTTGTCTCTTGGATGAACGTTGAACCTCTACTACAGCAGCGACTTCAGCCCCATCTGCTGCTGTTCCTAAGCAGGCTACCTGGATGGCCCCAGACATGGTTCACGCTGCCTTAGTTAAAATTATTGATGGATCCTGTTACCAAGCATCTCCCTCTGCCTGCTGTGTTCAGGTGCTACAGCACAGAATGCTGGTCTTGCCCTGCCTGGGCTGGGTGCTCCCCAGCATGCTTACCTGAGCAGCAGCCACCTCTCATTGAGGAATGCAGAAGTAAGCACTGGCTTAAACCCACTTTAATACCAGTACGCCACTTGAACTAGGTCAAGAGCCCAACTGTCCTCTCACTGCAGGGCTAGACTAGACTCCCAGAGCAGCACGGACTGTTTTAATCGATAGTGTTTCTGCTCTAAGTTTAACTGGTGAACTGCTACAAAATCAAAAGGTCAAAATAATATTTCCTTGCCATCTTTCCCTCTCCACTGAAAGGGGGGTACACAGTAGGAGGCTGATCAGCTAGGAACTAAGGTACTTTCCTACCATGTAACATCCAGGGAATCAATTTACAAGAATCTCTCCTTGTAAGGTACTGAGGAGGAAAAATTCAACAGGCACGTCAACTTACAGACCAGAGCTGTAGTTTGCATGATTAACTGTGGTAAAGCTCCCCAGACAGCAGAAAGCACTCTGCAGTGGGGCAGTGTGGTAGAGGTGGCTGGAAATATTTGCAATTTTAACAATTCACTCTGAAGGCTTAGAACATGCAAAATTCAGATCTTATCGGTTCCCTGAGGAATGCAAGCAATACAGCTATGGGAGCAGGGAATGCAGATGAGAAGGTAAATGCCTTACAGCCTTAAACTCTCCAAGCAGCTCTGTGATATCTTATCGGGGAGGATCTGTCCCTGTTCAAGTATTAAGTGTTTGCTTTTTTAGAAAGATAAAAAACAGAACCAATGAAGCTTATGCAATCCATCTGTAGTGTCTTGATGAATATTAATATAGATGTTATTTGTGCATAAATAGTCAATTCTTAATGAATAACTTTCTCACGTGGTAAGAGTATATGAAACCATATCTGTGGCTATAAGATTTAGGGTGCCACGGCCCATTAGCAAATACAAAGTCATGACAGATTTTCAGAAGTAGAGGAACTAATATTTGTGAAAGATTATCTACCTACTTTTCTTTAAAGGACACTCACTAATTTAACACTCAGCTTTCACAGTCAGAATCAGAAAAAAGATGTGTAGAGGAGGGTAATACACAGTACAAACAAATTCCAATTTGTAATATAAAACAGCCTTGATCAAGATTGAAGAATACGGTTTAAAAGACAGTATCTATGAAAAAAAATCTGCTCTACAACCACTGTAGCATTCATGTAAGCGGTCAGTTCTTACTGGAGAATGGCTTACTATGTCCTGCTTTTGCCGGAAAGAAAGTACAACCCTGCTATGGGAAAATAGGACTATTATGCAAACATGCCTAATTAACAAATAATTTAAGTAAGGAAAATGAGGCCCACTGACAGTTCACTTGAGTAGTAAGGGAGCAAGTATTCCAAGTATCCGGGCCCTTAAAATTTGTCAGAAATAACCTATGGCAATCCTCTCCCTCAAAGGACTGAGATCACAAAATCTCCTCTACCTTACCATTCCAGAACCTAGAGAAAATTCATAAGCAGTTTATGTAAAATCAAAAGAAAAGGAAAAAAAAAAAAACTCCTTGCAGCCCAAGCTGAGACTACTCACAGTTCTTGAGAACTTGCAGATATTCTTCCTGAGTTGTGTGACTGGAAAGGCTTTGTTAAGCTATAAATACCATACCACATTATCAAGCAAACTACAGAACCTGATATGGTGCCTTTGTTAGTCTTACCTAAATGGGCAGTGTATGGGAACTGCTAAATCACAGCCTGAACCTCTGATGGATCACCTGAGGCAAGCAATGAGTCAGCCATGGGAGCACAGATGAAGGCAATTCACCTGTGCTGCCGGAAGGGGTGGAGCCTGGCTCCACCTCTCCTAGACCCATTTAAGAGCTGACTACTGGTGGGAAAGGATCTCTTCTGGAGATCCTTCCTCTGGAGTTTTGCAGCAAGCCTAGAACACAGGTAAGCATTCTATCTATTCTCTTTTTGTCATTATAACCTGCTTAGCCAAGCTCCCTTGTTTATATCATAATTATAATATCTTTATATTCATTGATTATACAGGCATCACGGGAAAGATCAAAAGCATAGAATGCAACAGGGATGGGGAGATGTGTAAAACTTATAATGCAAAGTCTTGGGGGAAGATCAGTGGGGGAATGAAGCCAGGTGAATGGAGGAAGAACCATGGAGAAGAGAGAGAGAGATTAGAGTTCCTGGTCACAGGTTAACCCCTCAAATAAATACTATTCTTGAATACTTCTCCTGCAAGTAAGTGTTCTGCTTGTCAGCAGATGTGAATAGGGAGAAACTAGTCTGGAAAGACCCAAGCTCCTAGTGGAAACTGGCTAAAAAGCTGTGGGTCTGGTATAAGTACAAGAAGGACTTCAGGTCTAGTAGAGACTAAAGACATCTGTGAATCTATGTGTGTAAAATGACTATGAAAATAGCCATGTTCTGCTTACAAACTTTAAGCCTTATTACCCTGCAAGAAATAACGTGGCTTTCTGTATCATTCACACTGTTTCTGTTTATCTCTTAAAGATATCTTAGATGTACATGTATTAATCTGTGGTCAACTGCACATACACAGCACATACACACATCATTGCCTGGGGACGGAAGCAGCCTCATGCTGAGCAACCGGGAAGCCTTGAGTGCAATCATCTACTGTTCCTGTCAACTCCTTACTGGAAATGTGAGCACTTTTAAAACGCAACTGGCTCATGTAGAAGAAAAATAATAATAATTACTTGGCTTTAAGGAGTGAGTTAAGTCAATTTGGTTTGAGGAAAAGAAGTAGTCAGTGCAGCAATTTATTTTATTCTTTTAACAGAAAGAACATTATAATACTGAAAGAAAAAATGTAACCTGAGAACAGGCAAAAGTATTGGCTTAAACCTGAGAGGAAGGGAAAAAGCCTTAAGTATTCTTCCATCTTTTATCATACACAAAAACACGAAAGTATCACTAGTATCACAAAGGAAAAAAAAATATCTAAGCAGCAAACTCAGTAATCTCTGAACTTTTCCTAAGTGTTGTCTGCAAACTTCTTTGGGAACCGAACTCACCTCTGGTTTGGATTCTAACTCATCCGATAACATTGATTCAAGTGTTTGATTCCTGCAGCTGTCCTCAGCAAGGCACAGATATATACTTTTAATTCAGAGAGAACAACACTCGACTCATTCTTATATTTTCTGAAGTATAAAACAAAGCGATGGTCCTCCTGCACAAAGTTGTGTTGCGCAAATATTTGGTTTAACCTAAACAGTAAAAAAAAAAAAATGAACAAACAAGCATGAGCAAGAAAAAGTCAGCAGATATTGCATGTAACTGCAGAATGTACTTTGAAGTATATGAGAAAGCTTATAGAGGTTCCTGCATTTAAATTGTTCTTGAACCACCAAAATAATATCTTAACATCTGAAACTGATTTTCAGTGGCTATTTTCCAAGCTTTCATAGAATGGCCTGGGAAAATCATCTAGTTTCAACCCCCTGCCACGTGCAGGGTTGCCAACCACCAGACCAAGCTGCCCAAAACCCATCCAGCCTTCAGGGCTCCTAGGGATGGGGCATCCACGACCTCCTTGGGGAACCTGTTCCAGTGTTGTCACCCTCTGTGGAAAGAAAACTTCCTCCTAATATCTAACCTAAGCCTCACCTGTCTCAGTTTAAAACTATTCCTCCTTGTTCTATCACTATTCACCCTCTTAAACAGCCATTCCTCCTCCTGTTTATATGCTCCCTTCAAGTATTGGAAGGCTGCAATGAGGTCTCCCCAGAGCCTTCTCCAAGCTAAACAAGCCCAATTCTCTCAACCTTTCCTCATAGGAGAGGAGGACTCCAGCTTTCTGATCATTTTAGTGGCCCTCTGGACCCACTCTAAGAGTTTTCCTTGTAACGTGTAATTTTCACTGAGAATCTTAATTGTTTACCTGGAAATGTATGGAACTGATTGAAAACCACATACGTCAGCATGCAAGAGACAGAGGCTGAATCCCCTGTGGGGATTATCCAAATGTTCGATGACAAGCACTATGTGCACCCCATCACTAGAAAACCTCTGCTTGTTCTCTAACATGTCCAACTGGTGGTGGTGACAAATTTCTAATTGGACACAGATAGCTATAGGGATTTCTGAGGTAAGTTCTCTTCAGATGCTATTTCACACAGTCACACAATGTTCCTTCTTTGGACTACGAGATAAAGCAGGAATGTATCGTTCCTAACTACCAAAAAAAGGCTTTGATACTAATGAGGGGCGAACAAACCGAAGTTCCTGCCACGCCTCCCATTTATCACAATCACAGAACCACCTCGCAGAGAATCAAAAGCATTCCCGCGGCGCTCGGGGTACCTGCCGCACAGGGTCGAGACGGCAGCGATGGCGGCGGGAGCGGAGCGGAGCGCCCCGCCCCACAGCCCTACCGCTGCGCTCCTCCACCTCTCAGCCCGCCCCGGGATAGTGGGCCCGGGAGAGGGGCGGGCGCGGCCCTGGGCCTGCGCGGCGCCGTCCCCCTGCGGCCGCGGGCCGCGTGCCCTAACCCTCCCCTCCCGCCAGCTCGGGGGCAGCCCCAGCCCCGCGGCGGACAGCGAGTCCCGGCGGAGCGCCCGGCCCCCGGCAGCCTTACCGGCATCTCCGCCGCCCGGACGTGACGCGGCGCCGCCCGGAAATGCCGACGCTGAGGAGGGCGCCGCCCGCAGCTCTATGGTGAGCGCAGGGAGGAGCGCCGCATCCGAACCGCAGCGCCGCCTTCCCCGGGGCCTCCCGGCGGTACGGCCGGCTCGGGCTGAGCTTCCATCGCGTTTCGCCGGGCTCCGTCCCGGCACGGCGGCCCCGCGCGGCACTGTCTCCCCATGTCACTTCCGTAAGCGCAGAGCACCGAGCTGCGGGCGCAGTTACATTGAGACGCTCGGTGACCTCAGGAGCCCTTTGACTCAGCGAGGCGGACCAGTTGAGCAGGCATTAAAATAAGGAGATAGACGCGTGGGAGCGGGACTGCCCCTCCACGGCGCCTTTCGGGCCGGGAGGTCCGGCTGCTCCCGGCCTCGCTTGCCCGGGGAAGTCCGACGGGGCCGCTCGGACGGGTTCGAGGAAACGCGGTGTGTTTCCCCACGCGCACCGGGGAATACCGGGGGGTTTCGCGGCTGCCGAGCCACGCAGCGCCTCAGGGCTGAGGCCGCCGGGCACGGAAGGGTTAACCCCCTCCCCCCCCCACCCGCGGAAGCCGCGGGGCCGGACCCGCCCGCCATTCGAACGGCGGCGCGTTCCATTCCCGCCGCGGGGTGCCCGCCCTCCCTCCGCTGCGCCGCCCCCCGCCTTCCCCGCACGCCCGCGGCGCGGCGCCTGAGCTCCCCCGCCCTCGCGAGCGACGTGGTGGGGCCCGGGCGGCGCCGCGCGGGCGGGGACGCGGCCCGCCTCTCTCCGCAACACCCGCGCGGCTCGGGGCGGTGGTACGGCCCGCTCCTCCCCCCGGCGGCGGCGCGGGTGGTGCGTCCCGGCGGCGGCCGCGTCCCGGCCGGCGCCCGCCCCCTCGCCTTGTCATTGATGTTGTTGTTTTTGTCGCAGGAGCCGCAGGCGAGGCCGGGGCCGCCGCCGCCGCCGCCCGTGGCCTCCGCAGCAGCAGCGGGGCTCGGGCCGGCGCCGGGAATGTCGGTGTGCGGGGAGGCGGTGGGCGCCGGCTCCCTGCCCAGCGAGCTGGTGGTGCACATCTTCTCCTTCCTGGCGGGCCCCGACCGGCTGCGGGCCTCGGCCGCCTGCTCGCACTGGCGGGAGTGCCTGTTCTACCCGGCCCTCTGGCCGCGCCTCCGCCTCAGCCTCCGCGTCTCGCCGGCCGAGCGCCCGCGCCTCGAGTTCCTCATGCGCAAGTGCGGCTGGTTCGTGCGAGAGCTGCGCGTCCAGTTCGCCGCCGACAACTACCCGAGCGGTGGGGCGGCGGCGGGCGAGGGCGCGGCGGTGGCGGCGGGCGACGGGGAGGCGGCGCCGCTGTGCCCGCGATGGCTCGAGCTGCTGAGGACCTACCTGGAGCTGGTGCTGTGCGTGCTCAGCAGCGTCCGCAACAACAGGTAACGGGGCCGGGAGGGCAGGGCAGGGCAGGGGAGGCGGCGACCGGGAACACAAAGGCCGCAGGGGCGCCTCGGCCTCCTCGGGGCGCGGAGTGGGCGGGCGGCGGGGCTCCTCCGGGCTGCGTGAGGGTGGGAGCTGATGGGGGAGTTGGCGTCGGAGCGCTGGAGCGAGACTTCGTTTCTCCCTCACAAAAGCCGCCAAGAAGGCCGCCGGCCCCGGCGAGGAGCTCCCCTGTGTGCCGGGAATGAGGCCTGGCCTGAGCAGGAGGAGGAGAAGGTCTTTCTGATTGCTTACTGTGAGCGTGCTTCAGGCGGTTCCTCGATCCGCTTGAGCAGTGGGTTCCTTTTCCCATGCTCTGGGCTTAAAATGCGCTCGGATCACGCTTATTCACCCTGACTTTGGCAGCTCTGAGTCTTAATTTCCTCAGGTAGGACTTCTAAAATGAAAACGCTTGCTTTCTCTTTGCTTACCTTGCTAACATTCCCACACAGTATCTTTTAAAAACTCAGAGGTCATAATGTATGGCCTCCATTCAGAAAACCAGACTGTGCAGCGAAGTCACGGCGTGCTGGGAAGCCGTGTGGGCTGCAGGATAGTAAGTGGCTGTGTGCTTTCCTACCTCTGTGTATGGCAGTGTGCATCACCTGCTGGGGGCAAAGCGACCACCGCTAAATATTTTAGGGCATTTCTGTAGATAGTTGTTGGAAAACCAATGACAGCTGCATCGTGGTACAGCCGCCAGCCCTGACCCTGAAACAGTTAAGAAGCAGCGTGAGGCCTTCACTTCTCCTCTGGTTTGTGTGGTGAAAGCAGAGCTTCAGCTCCTGGTTGGCGTTAGAGGAACACAAGCACAGCGTGCGAGGTCTCGCTTTCGGTTCCTAGGCCCTGTGATGCCTGCAGGTACTTCCTGGAGGAACTGCGGTGGTTGGAGGCGCAAGTGTGCTTTTGGACACTGCCTGTGGGTCACAGCTCATCTTCATCTTGATTTGTTTCTTGCCCTGTGAATCCTCAGCCTGCAGGTTTAGCTGCCCTAATCGGTCTCCTCTTGCCTTTCAGGAGAAGCTTTCACTTTGCTGTTGAATCTTGGGGAAATTCAACTGATATCATGCATGACATCAGTTGATGGCTGTCAGATCTGTTACAAATACTGCTAGGTGGACTTCAGCGTTTTAAGTGGACCTTTAGAAGCTGCAGGAGATATTGCGTGAGAGTTTCATTGGGGAAAAAAAGTGAAATGCATTATGAGTATGGTTTCGGTATGCTTCACTTTTGGAAGAGAGAGATTTTGTGGTGTTATCTCCAGCTTGTGCAATAACACCACCTTCTGAAGTCCTTTTTACACATTTTTGTGTGTACAGTGTGGCTGAAGAATGCATCAAAACACTTGGTAGTAGCAGTTGTTTCTTCAGTGGCTGTTCTCTGGTAGATAAGTGTAGTTTCTGTAGTAGGTACAGATGAAAAGTTACTATCTTTGATAACATTTAGTGTCTCTGTATGTTCTTTATGTCCCCAAATCACTTGCCTGCTGTTGTTTGACTTTGGAATGAAAAATGTACCACCTGGGAATGTATAGTACGTAGTTATCATAGCAGACTTTTTTTCAGTGAGCAACTGAAACATGCGAGGGGGATTTACGTGAAACAGATGTACATTCAGAATTACTTCTAGAATGAGCTTTTTTTCCCTCATAAGCAAGGTTTGGGTTTTATTTTGATACTTTTTTTGGTTCTTGAAAAGTAGCTATCTACAACCAGTTCCTTGGCATGTAGAACATTGTCGTGTTTTAGATTTTTTAAGTGAAGCTTTAAGATAGAAATGAGATGGAAAGGAACATTAATGTGAGCTGAGTTGCTGCTTGGTTCTGCTTCTTAGCTTACCTCTAAACTGGAACCATTGTCACCTGCTCAGTGCTTCATTTTATTGGTAGAAGGACCGCAGTCAGTCGCTTTGTTTCTCTGCTTCTGTTTTCTCATCTGTAGCACAAGGGTGATTAATAATTTCTTGTTGTGCTTGCAGAATGTTCTTGTACACATGATAGCTATTGCAATTTCCAAAATAAAGGAAACAGCAATGTTTTTAACTTCTCCAGCAACTAAATCGCAGCAAATGCATTCCTTTTGGAACAGGGTTTGAAACAGGATGATTCTTTCATAGCTCCTGTCAGCCCTCTTGATAGCTTTTTGGCAGAGAAATCCAAAGGACTTCCATCTTACACTTAAGAGCTAGAGAGGGAGAAATCCACTTTAGTAAAATGGTATGCTGTTTCTTAACTATGTAATCTTGTTGTAGGATTTAAATCTGCTGTTAAACAATACAGCAACAACTTCCTCCTTTCAGGAAAAAAAAATTCTTTAAATGGAATTCCTTGGATTTATAATACTGCAGGACGTAAGAAAAGACTAACAGAAGGACTAAAAGTAATGTGACTTCTGGATGTCCTCTTGGGTACAGGAGAATGATGGTGTGCTTTTATGCAAATAAAATATTTTCTGTTAAGTCTCTGAAAAAGTATTTTGGAGCAATCTTTGGTAATTCTGATAGAGTTAAGGAGGTTGCAGATGTGTAACTAGAAACCCCTGATAGCATTCTGATAAATATCGTTGCTGGTGTTCAGCATCCACAGAGGTACGTTCAAGGTCTGTCTGGTGTTTGAAGCAGAGCTCAGGTCAACACAGCTCTCATTCTGCGAGTGAGAGCACATTACTCCAAAATACCACTTTCTTGGCACTGAAACCAAGAGGAGGAGCTCTGAAATTCTGTAATTTCTTAAAAAAAAGTAAGTACTGAAGTGATGTCTGTAGTGATTTGTAACTTTTCCAGTTGTTCAACAGCAAATGAAGCGAACTGGAAGTGCTGTATTTAAACAGATGATATTCTATTTTGTAATTAAAAATAAAATGTAGGGGGTGGCATCATGCAACAGTATCAAGAGGAGCGAGTTGTTTCCTAGAGGTTCTTCAGGGATCTTCACCATCTGCACCATCACATGGTGCTCTTTGAAAACATAAGTTCTCGGAGGCAGGAAGGAGGGTGATGCTCTGTGCAAATCTTTTTGGTATGGACCAGAGCTAACAAGCAGACATTGTTTGATCTTTGCTGTGAAACAAAAATGCAGATTATAGTAAACTAAGGTGTCTCAGTGAAGGTATCTGCTTTGGAGTTGCCAAACATTTGTGAATCATTCAAGGAGCAGACTGTGTCTGTATTTGAGGCTTTCTAAGAACTCTCTTCTATTAACTGTAGCGAGCAGCTGGCAACAACAAAATAAACCCCAAACAACCAAAAAATGCATGAATCTAGTAGGACAGTGTGTGCCTTAACACTTTGTTCCTGCTGAATGTAAGCAAGTCTATTGGGATTTTTTTTTTTTTGCGTTGCAGAATTGAGGATGGATGTTCAAAAAGACACAACAAAACTGAAGATAGAGCATAGCAAGAAGCGTATTACTTTTAGTATACTTTCTAAGCTAGTGGAATATAAATAGTTATTATGTGATAAACAAATACTAAATTCAAAAGAGAATGTTCTTTCCAAGCTGTGTGATTTGTAGTATACATAGTATTAAGATGCTATTTTGACTTTCATCAAGAGGACAGTTAACTCCTAAATTATTTTATTTAAATAGCAGTGGCTTTACTAATCCAATGGAGTAGGGGTGAGAGGTGAGCCAGATGCCACGGAGATTATGTTGTTCTACAGTGGTGACAGAAACCTAATACTGAATGGAACTGTGATCACATTTTTGATGGTTGTAACTGTGCTGTGAGTGGAAGAGTAGTTGGATGTTTTCATTGCTTAAATTTTAAGGTGGAAAGCTTTAACTGTGTCTCTACAGTGCATAGTAGAATGGCAGTGAAATAAACGCGGGTAAACTGTGTGAGGTACTTGTAAATGGTGTTTTGTAAGTTTTGTTGCTGATAGGCTCTGAAATTAACACTGCAGTAGTATTCACTAGGGTCTGAGTAGCACTGAACAAGACCTGTGTGTGATGTGGATATGCAAGTGAATCAGAATTGTTCAGAAGATTGCATTTTGTCTTAAGTCTCAGAATTAAGTCACTGAGATCAGAAGATTATGATAGTATAATTAGAATATTGGCTGTGAAGTCTGCCTCTCACACCTGGTGG